AATTTGTTCTACAATTATGTTCTTTTGTGCAAATGTTTGATGTTTCTGATGATTGAGCAAACCTTCCATTTTCAAAATTCCATCTTTTGAATCAGGATTGTATTGCCGCTCCCTGCTCCTCAACACATTGGGAACAATACATAAAATGCTGTTTTGCCAATCAACCCTAAGTATTATAAATTCCATGTTCATATCATCGGACGGTTTCGCACAACGATGGGGTGGTGGGAGTCCAGTCTGTAAATAACATTCAAGTATAGACGTTTCCGTGTTTGATGCTGATATCTTTCACGTTGAAAATTCGAGGAAGAAGCTGAACTAATTGTAATGCAGCCAGTACGCACTGTGGATAAAAAGGAAGCCACAATCCTGAGGTGCATTAAGAAACAACATGTAACTGTCACACATCATATATTATTGTTAAAAATAAGATCAATTTATCAATCATGACGTTAATAATACTTAATAAGTTGGAAAGTTGAAAATGTGAATGTTTAAAAGGCCTCCAGGCAAATAATTATTTTTGTTTTAATTGTGAAATGCATTCCAAAAGAGCCATCAACATGTTAAATGAAAGTTGTTGACTATGTTTCCAACTGAATTCTTATTTTTTCTTTCAGGTCAGAAGTTTCTCTCCTTCCCAACCTCAGTCTTTTCTACCCCCAATGGGCAGGCCGTGATTGGGTGACCACTGTTAGTAATCATGTCCCTTCATATCTATGTGAGTACCTTCTATGTCCAATCTTATTTCAAATAAAAGCCTTTTTTGCCTCCCCTTTACTTGCTGTTGTTAGTCCAGCATTCAAAGGACAGTGTTCCACCAGTTTATCAATGTCTGTAGTAAAAGCAAATAGTCAGCCTGTACACCGTAACAGTTTAATGCGCTTGGTGAAATCCTTCCTTCCTCCTGTTCATGCTGGCCCCTGTGCCAAACACCCGTATTCCGGCAATGTTTATTTGAAAGGTAATAACGAGGGCTTCAGCAGTCTTGACTTAGCCAGAAATCAAATGTGAATTATCGGAAGTAGTTTACTAACAAGTTGGAGGAGGTTTATTTGGCTGCTTAAGAGTGAGCAGGAAAGGGAGGGAGTGATAGTGGATGACACGAGCAAAAGGCCTTAAGGTCGACTCGACCCTGGCCCGGCTGGCAGGCCAGAGACACCCGCCGCCCCTCCACCCTGTCAACTGGTGCCACGGCCCGCAGGAAGAAGACACTTTGAAAACATTTGACTTAACAAACTTATAGCCACTGAAAACCTCATATCCAGCTTCAAGATGAAGTTTGAGATCTATGTTGCACCCAGAAACGAGGAGCTGTGGACTGTGTGTCCCCATCTCTTAGCAGTGGAGGTGCCATCCAGGAAGAGATTTCTAATTTTCCCAAAATAAAGAGGATGATAGTAAAAAAAAACCGTTTCAAATGTTGCATTAGGGACGCTGAATTATTGTTTACAAGATAATATTTGAAACATGTGAAACGCTGTCTTTATCCAATGTTTTGTGTTATATAAGTAAACCCTGAATTGGAAACAAAGTCTCAAAAGGCCCAACACCCTTCCCTCTTGTCTGTCACTGTATTAGCCTCCAAGTCATTTTCTGAAAACAACGCGCCAAGGCCTGACTGCAGAAACCCAGAACGCTGAAGACCCACAAAACCAGAACCTGACGACACAAAACCAGGAGAAGAACAATCTGACAATCCTCCATCCGCAGTCCTGAGCTCCAGAAAATGAAAACTTAAAGAGGGACTACAACCAACCTGATTAAATCCTATACTGCTAGAAAGCAAGATCACAAACCTGACTGCAGAAAACCAGAACCTGACGATACCCAAAAGCCCCAAAGAACCTGAGACAACCAAAACCAGAACCTGACCGACCAGCAAAACCCAAAGAACCTGACGACACAAAAACCAGAACCTGAAAGACACAAAACCCAGAACTGATGACACCAAAACCCAGAACCGTGAAGACACAAAAACCAAGAAACTGATGAATACAAAAACAACGCAACATGAGACACAAACCCAAGAACACCAGGAGCTGTCCGACACCCAGGATACCAGAATTTAGTAAAATATTAATTACAGCCAATACCAAATGACTGTACTAAATGGTAAATGGTCAAATGGACCTGAGCCCTTGTATAGCGCCTTTCTAAGTCCCCTTTCCGCGACCAACTGTCCAATGTCGCGAAATCTAATCATTTTTTTTTGCCCCCCGGGCCGAGCGCCGCATTTAATATTCTGCTGATACTAGAGTCCTGATCCGAATAGCTTGTATTTTCCTTAATAATATAGGTGAATGGCTCTGCAATTACATTTAAGAAAAAATGACGCAAACCCAAGCTGTAGACTAGTTTATTTTTATGTATTATTCAGCACCAGTGATTCATGTTGTATTTCATTCTATGTCACCTATTTGAATGTAAGCTTTAATGTGTATCTTAAAATAATATATAGTGATTACCTTAAGTTGAGTAGTCAGCTGTTTAGATGTGTTTGTGAAATGTCTACACAATATTTCTGCTTGCTTGATTTTCATATGTAAATGTTTCTCCATAAATTAATACATATAGGGATAGTTTTTCTTACAAAAATGTTTTCTTAAGTGATATTTAAGCTGTTGTATGGTTACTTTAAGTGTTTGTTGCGTGGAAAAAAACCAGATCTATGTATATGTGCATTATATGCAAAGAAAATTGAGTAACTTGGCCCATAAGGGGATTAAGTGTTAATCATTAATATCTGATGTGCTTTTCTTCTACTTAGTTAGAGATGCAGTTCTTACAGTTTGTATATCAGCAGATTGATGAAAGAGACCAACAAAAGTGCTCAAAGTTTCTTATTTGTTATTGTCATGTAACATTTGAAATGGTTGCTGCTGATTGGCCAACAGGGGGCGCTGCATCACTTGTTCTCAACA